CCCCAAAACCCCAAAACCCCAAAACCCCAAAACCCCTTATAAAATCAGTATGATTGAAATATTCTGGTGTTTACACAAGAGAGTTAAATTTAAGCCTTGGTTCTCCAGAAACTATCACAAGGTCTCCTTCTAACTTGATCCCAATAATGTAGTTTAAATACTTCTGTGCCAGTCTTCTGTATTTTCCTTGATTTACTCAGATTCCACATAAATGTGCCTTCTGTGGGTGGCCTGTTTTCATCAAGCAGTGATACTTTTCATGCGGATGCAGACTGCACACTTTTAAACATGCTTTGTTTTTCGAATTTGGGGTAGACTTCTGCAATGTTAAATACAAGTACTTACAGTAGAAACAGATGGAACAATCATACCAGCTTTACATACAATGCACACTAGAACTCCTGGCTTCTTTGCTTGAGTGTAAACGTGCATCTTTCTTTTGCATAAATACTCGTACGCTTTAGCAATATTCTCGGAGTACTCTCCAACCAAGATATGTCTAGACAATAACAGCTTCTGGAGGCCTCAACTTGGATGTGGATAGTTCTCAATGTAAGGACTTCCAGCATCTGCAAAATTTTGCTTCCAAAGACTTGTTCACTCATGATTATCAATGAGTTTATTATTATCACAGTATTCACAATGCTCGTTTATTAAGTAGTATGTGCATCTGCATGCTTTCTCAAGTCTTAACAATGTCTGAACAGAAAAGTACCCTAGCAGAACACACCAGATGTCGTAAGGAAAGCATTGGAACTCTACAGTTTCTACGTCCATTGACTTAACTATTCTCTCTCGTTTCTGCAATCTTGCATACATTTCAGCAGGAAGCACTTCTTTGTTGCTAGTCATGGTCGGTGTATCGACTGCCGGCTCATCCTAGGTCAAAAATACAACTGTCAAATATTTCAAAATAAAACCAATCACCTACCTTAAGCCCAACATTCTTCGCCATGCCAATCTTGGCAGCTATACGATCAACCCCATCACCTACCTTCAAACCTAAGCTGCATAGCTTTCTGGCGTTGCTTTCTTTTAAGGTCTCTCTGCTTCTTCTCTTCCTCCATTCTGGCAAGGAACTGTTCATGCTTGTCTTGAATTCTCTTTTCAAAAAGTTCACTCTCAGACCTGACATATTAAGGCAAGCTTACTTGTTTATATCTCTGATTGCTTTGGAGATCTTTTCAGTGTCTTCTATTATTATTTTGTTCCAGTCATGCACTTGTTTGCAATTTTGATACCCCTTGTCTGAGTACATCTTCGCTGATCTTTGGAGGTCTGTGCACAGGGTTTATAGGTAGAGAGGGAAAGAATGGTTTTATTAGGTCTGTGGTATTTGAGGAAGATGTAAGCGATTTTTAGGAGGGTTTACCTTCAATCTGTCAGAGTATCTTTTGTTGTAAATTATTTGTTCTATACCCGATTTGTTAGAAATAGGCAAGCTTTTGAATACCTGATGTCTGAAACTTTTTTATCTAGCTTTTGAGAGTTATGAATTAAGTTTCTAGTAACCAATTCTCGTTGAACTCTTCTCATATCATCGAGTTCCTCTAAAAATTATTCAAACTTAAATACCTTGCTCATCTTCTAGCTCTTGTAGTTTGTTTAAACCATATTGATAATGTCTGACAAATTCTTTACCATCAGATTCCATTTTTATTTAACAATAAAATTGATTATCATAGGGGTTTTGGGGTTTTGGGGTTTTGGGG